CTGAATTTCAGGGGGGGTTGGATGGCTTGGTTCTCTCGGCACTTTGAACGTGTCTTCCTTAGCCTGGTGCTTCAATTTCCTTGGCTGTAAAACGGAGATAGAAGCATTTCTTTGCCTACCTGTAGCAATTCAGAAGAAATGCGTTTGAGGTCCTGAGGTGTGATCCAGGGATTTGGGAATGGGAGCCATATGTGTATGGAGATAAGCTGCTTGCTTAGAAACGCATCAGCCAGACTCAAGAAGAGCAAGTCTGCCAAGTAGAAGTTGCCAATTTGTGGTTTTTTAAACATTAACTCTTAGGGTGTCCCACAGAGAGAAGCCTTTCCCTCTCTTCAGTTTAGCCTGTTCCCCAGGCACAGGGGTTAAAGGGCTGTGCAGCAGGTTGGTGTCCGAGCTGGATTGGGCTGCGGATAGGGAGAGGGGGCATCGGTCTTCCAGGTTCAGTCCACAGAAGCGAGGTTGGAGCTCCAAGAGCTTTGCTGATGGGCTGGTGTGTTCCTGCCGCGGCACAGTGGGAGCTTGCCCTGGCGCGGGGGCAGAGGGGTCTCTCCAGGGCCACGTAGTGGAGTTGGGTGGGTGAGCTCAGTGCCCTCATCTGACTGTTCAGCTCTGCGGACCCCGCTGCTGTGACCAAACGGGGAGAGCTCCCCAGTTGCGAGCGTGCTGCGGGTATCAGGTGCAAACGTCTTTGTGTTGTTGATCTTCATTCACAGTCCGGAGCGTCGAACTTTGGTGAAAAGTTTTCCAGGGTCAAGTTCTCTCCGTCGCTGACGCTGTTTGGTGGGAAGCCCATGGAGGGCTGGATTGCCGTGACCATCAGTGGGCTGGTGACTGTCTCCCTCCTCAAGCCCAACGGGCAGGTGCTGACGTCCACAGAGAGCCTGTGCCGCCTCCGCTGTCGCGTTGCCTTGGCAGATGTCGCCTTCACTGGTGGGGGGAACATCGTGGTGGCCACATCGGATGGCAGCAGCACCTCCCCTGTCCAGTTCTACAAAGTCTGCGTCAGCGTGGTGAATGAAAAGTGCAAAATAGACACTGAAATCCTGCCTTCCCTCTTCATGCGCTGCACCACGGACCCTGCCCGCAAAGACAAATACCCAGCAATCACGCACCTGAAATTCCTTGCTCGGGACATGTCAGAGCAGGTGAGCATCTGCTGTTAAAGCAAGGAGGAGTTAAATGAGTAGCAAGGAAATAGCTGTTTGCTCCACCTTTGGCTTCCCCACGTGGCTCTGGAGGTGAACGGTTGTGTTCCGCAGTACCCTTGGCATTTCTAGTCACTGTTTTTGGAAGCACTGCTAGTTCGGCTTCGCTGTCAAGCAGGCTGCACTTGAAAGGTCTGGGGGTGTAACAGCTGAGCCCTCCCGCTCGTGGAAAAGCAGCCTGAAAAGCCCTGTCCTTCGTTAGCCTGATTATGTTTTGCTTGCTTTGTCTTCCGGATCTGGCGCTGGTTGTGAGGGGAGCTCTGCCGGGTTGTCCAGGAGGCTCTGGGATGCGTGAAGTCTTTCATCGTTGAGTCTCAGCTTCAAAGCAGCCCCTCTCCAGAACACTTAGAGCTCTTGATCTGCGTCACTTAATTTAGTAGCTTAACTCTGTTTGCCAGGGGATTGATAATGTGATTCTGGAAAGCTGAGTGAGTTGATGAAGCCCAGCCTCTCCTCTGGTTGGGGCCGGGCTGGAGAGCACAGTGTCTGCTCTGGCTCCAGAGCCAGTTCAGTTCCTGTCCTTCCCTTTATGTTTAGTTTACGATGTATGTGAGTGATGTCAGCAGGTCACAGGCTTGTGAGAGATGAGATCATTTGTGATGTGGAGAGAGACAGGCTGGGATGACAGACAGCAGAGTTCTGCCTCTCTTTCCTTCTAGCTGGAACTAGGGACTTCACCACTGCACCCTCCTGACTCAGTCCTCTGCTTTTCGCTGCTGGAATATAAACTCATTGGGAGGAGGAGACTCGACATAGAGGGGAGAGGGAGGGGCAGAAAAAGCGACGGGATAGCATCTTTCCCTGTTGTAAAGTTTGTGCCTGCGGTCACAGTACGGGTTTCTGCTTTGCAGGTGTTGCTTTGTGCTTCCAACCAAAACAGCAGCATTGTGGAGTGCTGGTCTCTGCGGAAAGAGGGCTTGCCAGTCAATAACATCTTCCAGCAAATCTCCCCTGTGGGTGAGTTTCTACACCAGATACTTTTAAAAATAGGAGCATGGTCTAAGTGGAAATGCAAGACAGGTTCTTGGATCCATTATCATAGATACAGGTTTATCCAGAATCCCGTATTTATTTTTCGGGTGTTCTCAGTCACACGCTCTATTCCATCTGTTTGCATCTCAGGCAACAAATTGCTGGTTTGCAGGAAGTGGTGTAGTTGTTACTTGCACTCAATAAAAGACATTTTCTGTGT